AGATGCAGACTCCTGGCCTAGAAAAACTGAACTTGGCTTGTTTGTGTAGCCATCAAAGAACATCCCAAATAGATAACAGCTTCCATTGGCTTTCTGGCCTTACAGAGAGGCTGAGTGTCAGACCAGTTTTGCTTTAGGGTGATGCAATATCTTGGAGCTCTTGAGGTTTTTAATTTGCAGAGATGCTATAAGAATTTCCTGGTTTTGGTTTGCAAGTAAGGGAAGCTGTTCTGTGTAGCTATGCCACCCCTTTCTGGATTTTTTTTTTCCTTTTTCTTTTTACTCCTTGAATTTTAATAGGTTCAGAATAGTCGTTGCGTTGTGTTGTACCACATCAATCGCATATGTCATGATGTATGTCAGTTTCTTCAGGAGTCTGACGGAAATATATTTTCCCCTGGGCTGCATTTTGTGACTTCTGATGGGTCTTCTCATCTTTTGCAGCATCGGATATTGGGCAGGTCTAAAGATGGGAGTTTGCAGGGGGGAGGTTCTTAATGGTCCTGAGAAACCTTTCAATTTCTTCCTTGTGCCGGGAGACTGTTGCCTAACTGTCAGTTTTGTGGTCAGGAAGGAAATTTCCCCCTGGTTCAGCTTGACCAGGAGGGTTGTTTTTTCTACCGTGCTGTGTGGGCAGAACCCATTTCCTGGATGTGAGTATATTGCCCTTGCAGTTGGAGGGGCCCAAGAGATTGGTCTCACCCCTGCGTTCTTCCTCTGGCACAACGTGGGAGTTCCCTTTGGGTTTTTTGGTACAGAATTTTACTGTGGCTTGATACGATGTGCTTTGTGGCTGTGTGGTATGCGGGTGGAGTTGGAGGGGATTTGCTTGTGGACCATTCAGGGCAAACAATTATTCCAAGGTGTCCAGCACTCACAGGGAACTGTGCTTGATAACCTGGGAATTAGCAGTTCTATAGTTTTTGGCAATGAAAGAAGCAGCGGGAGGTGGCCCAGGAGACAACCTCTATTAGGGTGTGGCCCAAGCAATGAAACCATGTGAAAACCTGCTAAGTTAGGCTG